GAGCAAGGACATTAAAATAAACAGCTTCTTTGCAGCCTTAGTGGGGGAGGGTGAGCTAGTATGCCCTGAGGGCTCCCCCCCAGATGGTGGAACTGCCTGTTCTGGAGTACACCCAGATAAATTAGGTGTTTCTAAATATGTTTTGTCACATTGTTTATAATGTCACATCACAGACTTTTAATAAAAAGTGAACTTTTTTTAGGCCATATTCTTCAGAGCTTCGCACACCATCATGCACACAATAGACATTCAGTAAATGTGTTAATTAACTAATGAAAATAGCAACCTCAAAGTAGACAGATCTAAGGGGATGTGGGACGCGATCCCACTCACAGACTGGAGCTCTCGCCTTTTCCTCCCCTGCAGAAGTCCAGAGGTGGGGCCAGGCACAGGCAGGGACAGGGCACTCAGCAGAGGAGGAAGGCAGAGCTCCTGGGGGTGGCTGGGCTTCTTCTCTAACCTGGGCCTCAGACAGGCAGCTGGGTATGGCTCACCTGCTTCACTGTGAAGTTGAGCAACTGAAATTCAATGATGTGGATCTGGAAAGTCCTATCAGGTCATGACAAGTGAGGTGTTTTCACACTTCAAGGTTCACAGTTACCCACTGGGTACAGTCCAATCCCATATCCCATGTGGATTAGCTGGGGACAGAGTTTGCCAGATGTTTGAGGGCAGTACCCTCACTTCTGACTTCCCTGGTAGTCTCGGGATGCAAGACAGGAAAAGAAGAGGAAACTTCCTCTAGTCCTCTGTCCTCCCTTCCTTTTAGGAAGTATTCAGGGTAAACTGTCAGCAGTCCTGGGCACATGACCTGTGGGAGGGCGTTTGTTAGTAACTCACTTTGCACATCACAGCTCAAGATTGTAAAATGAGAGTTTCCCACAATTACAAGGAAAGGTAGAAATTGGAAGTGAAGAACTAAAGCCATCTGGAAAGAGTAAACATTTGAAATGGTAGGTTGGCATCCACTCACATCTGGTGAAGACCTTATTTTTTGTTTTATCTAAGTGGTTTCTTAAATGGCTCCATTGGGTGGGCCGTCGGTGACAGATAACCCCACGCTGCGGGCAGCCCGGCTGTGGTTTGCACACACTCATCGTGAAGGTTCAAACCGTGAACCATGGTGTGCCACGGTCCTGCAGATTTCCAGGGCTGCTCCTAGGAACATGGCCCTAAGCAGCACTCTGTTGCTAGCGAAGGCCTGGGGACAACTGTTTGCATGTGAATCAGTATTTTCTCTTCCAACTATGAGAGGCTGGGCCTACACAACAAACAGGGTGTTCAGATAGTCATACTCACAAAACTAAAAGTGACCCTCCCATCCAGCCTGATTATTGCACACGTTCTCCTGGTCACCCAAAATGCCAGGTAGGCTAACTTCTGTCTCTGGAGGTAAATAACTTTCTACCTTGGTTTGCACCATTTAGATAGAATCAAAGATCCTAGATAGGTTTGAGATGTCACTTGAAAATAGGATTTATAGGTCTTGGACCACATCTTACATCTTTAGCACCATGAGCTGTGTCCTCTACATGGAGACTAGTAGGGCACCACTGCACACCTCTGCTTACTGGGCAGAGTGTATATTCCTCCTCCCCTCTCTCCATCCCTCTGTTCTTCTTCTTGGCCTCTCTTTCTCTCTCTCTCTCCTGGTGTGGACATGGGATCGGATTGGAAAACCATAACAAGGTGTGAACTGGAACCTCTCTAAACACAGAGTACTGTACCGAGAGCAGCCTTACCTTACTACGTGCATCTTAGTCATGCATGTAGAGAAAGGCTGGCTTCCTTGGAAATTTTCTATACTCCAGATATAAATGTCAGCAGTCCTGGGCACATGGCCTATGGGAAATTCCAGGTCTAAAAAAGAGCAGCAGCTTTGTCTAAGGTGACCGTGTGGACTGAAAAGAACTGGATGTTCATGATCGCGGTTGCACTCTGCCCTGATTCTTGGTCTCAGAACAGGAGTCAAACTGTCCTTTCTGGGACGGTACAAACTGAGGCATGAGAAGCAATGATGTTTTTCTGAAACAGCTCTCCATGGAGGCTGTGAGCCTCCAGTACAACAAGGTACCTCTGACCTAACTATTCAATAAGTAAGGAGAGCTGGGGTGGGATTTTCACAGCTAACAGTGTTTTAGGGATACACCTACTTCCATAAGGAGGATACAGTTTTTAAGCATCAGTTTTGGAATGTCATATTTCCTGTTTGATTTTCTTATTGGTTTTAAAAGAGTATCCTTCAAAGAGTACTAAATGGTTGAAACTGGGTTAAAAAAAGCAATTTTCCTTCTATCTGTAGAAAAATAACAATTTTAGACACTCATATATGGAAATGACTTGCAGACTTAGGGCCACTCTCTATCTGCCAAATAAGAATATTTGAAATATTCTAATTCAGATCTGTTTTCAAATCTTTCACAGGTTTTATGCCATTGATTCTTTGCATTCATTGCAGAAAGTTGTGTTTTACATACGAGTCCCAGGAATCTTTTACAATAAAGATGTATGAAAATATATGTTGGCCTAGAGTCTATCACATTTATTTTTCTCTTCCTAGAGGGGAAAAGCTCTGTTCTTCTAATTCACATCAACTTATAACCTGGTTCATTTGTAAGTGGGGCCATCTATCAACAGAGAGTTGAATTTAGAAGTTCTCTCCAAAGATAGGTTTCTCTTCAACATGCAGAAGAATTTAGACAGTGTTTTCTGAGATGGTCTTCAGTTACTGGAAGTAGCTGTTTGTTGTCAGGTATTTCTACTCTTTGGTCTTTTAACAAAACTTTTGGTCCACCTCTCTTGTTAAAAAATGGCAACAATAAGATCAGCCTAGTGGGCTATTCCTCATCTCATGCTCAATGACTTGCATTGACCTTAGTGATCTTTGGACTAACCTGTCTTTTGACCACTTTGGGAGTGATACAGAAGGTATTTTCCTCATGGCTTTCTGATTCCAACAGCAAACCTTGCCTTGGTGAAGGATGAGGTCCAGCTCCCAGTCTGCAACAAGCCTGATATAAATGTGAGCTTAGCATAAACTGGGGGCCCCAGGTGTCTGGGAAGAACCACATTTCTTACGAGACATTTTGACTCCTATGTTCAGAATGAATAATCCAATAAAGACTAAGGATTGCCTTTTTCTACTTTTTTTTTTATAAAACTTCATAGAAAACTCTCAAACTGAAAAGTTGACCTCATATTCTTAGACTCTCTCTTGCCTTTCCTCCTCTATTGCCATCATCTTTAGGATAAAACTTTTTGCGATTTTCTACATGTTTTAGAAAACTAGTAGAGACACTCAGTGATTAATCTTGAGCCACAAGAAGGTGACTTGCAACATTCTACATTTGGGTTTGGATTGCCAAGTTGTTCTGGTGATGAGGACTAGCTTCTTTGATAGAGATTTAGTTTGATGCTGCCTTTGAGCTTGTATCCTCATTTACAGACCGCTTCCCCCTCACATTTCTGGCCCTGCAAGTTTACTGGACACTCACTGATGCAAAGATGTTAAGGAGCTTGGAGATCATCTAGTTTAGTTTGTGACCTTTACATTTGAGAAACCAGGGCCCCCAGAGAGATGGGGTGACTTGGCCAAGGTCTCACAGCAAGACAGTGAGATACCAAAGCCTTGCTGTGCAGCTCATGGTCTTCCCCACTAGACATGGTTGTCCACAGCTAATATATATGCCTCACCTTCACCATACTTTCTTCTTCTGTTTCTGTGCCCACACATCATTTTCTCTTTCTTCCAATTTGCTTTCTAGTATTTCAGAATCACACCCCATGGATCTTGTTGACACTTTTCTCAAACTTCTTGAACCCAGCTATTCTAGTAATGAGCCAGGGTTGGGCCAGGAGTTCATAAATAATGGGTCATATAAATAAATGGCTGCCAGTACACCTCCATCTCTCTTTTCCTATAGTATGCTTCCCCCCACCCCCTGTCAATTAAAGCACTCAGCCTAAGCTAATGTGCTCCCTGCTATAAAAAGTTTTAGGGACACTGTGGCGATTCCCTAGACCAACCAGATCAAGTCTCAAGTTAGAGCATGGCCCAGAACATAACAGGGTATGTGTACATAGGGGAAGTCACAGCGAGGCTCTGCTGAGACTGAAACAAAATGAATACATTATGATGCATTTAACTGTTTCACAACATCTATTTAGTTATGGGATTGACAAATTACCAGCAAACTCTTTACTTAGAAAATGGCTAACATCATTTTCTAAGTAAAATGGTAATCCATCATCCATACCCGCATTTACTCATCTACCTACCCACTGGTCCTGTCTAGTTTTTTCCTGCTTCTAGAAAAGATTTGAGCAGCAGGTCCTAAGGAAACATCACAGCAGATTTGTTATAAATGGAATTGTCTTCCTGACGAGATTATGAAACAGGAAAGCAAAACACAAAAATATTAATCTGATGTTTGTTTTCTAAAACTTAGTATGTAAGCAATATATTGTAAATATTGACAACATTTTTTCCATGTCACCATTAAAAAAAAGATATTAAGGTAATCCTGATCATTTCCTTTAATCTCTCTCTGTTTCTTAATGTCAAAAGGAAGTAAAGGAAATAGTTACCCTAATAGTCAAATACATATAATATTTATTAAATATATATATATATATGATGTTAGAGAGAGAGAGCTATGGCTTTTTTTTCAAATTTTTGGAAATTACTCTGTCACACAAACCAGAAAGCCTCAGTTGACTCTACTATCATATTCATCAAGTATAAAATCATAAAGATTTTTTTTCCACTCAGAGGGCCGGCTGAGGGCAAAGAAGAATTGTCTTTCTATAAATTAGCCATGACAAACAACAGCAAAGAAGAAAATATGCATCTTTCACACATTCCCGCATCACACAGCAAATGAACCACAGGGGGCACCATGGCTGTGCTGACAAAGGGTATTAGAACAGTTCCTTGGATTGTGACAACAGTAGCCAGCCAATCTTCCCCCAAATTCAGAAACCAAATTGCAAGCCCTTACCTTGGAGGGCCTGTAAGCTATGAGTCTGTACGATAATGCAGAGCTGCAGGACCAGCTGTGGAGCACTTTCCAGAAAGGTGGCTAGCAAATGCAGCATACTCACGTCTGCATACTCATACACCATTCTCCAGTAAAACCTCCATCTGTCACTCTCCCCACTCTGGCGACTGCGGATGCCTAAGTATATTGTGTGGAAATATCTAGAAAGAAAACATGGAGAATAAGAGAGATGAGTGATAATTTGTCATTGAAACACCAGGGCTGTTTTTCTTTTCTGCAAGTTGCCATCTGCGAGCACACCCAAAAAAGAATTATCTAGTGGCCTATAATGAAAGTCTGAAAGTTAACCTTTTAGGAGGACTCTTATTATTCAATCTTCACTTTGAGAAGTCACTGTAATTTTAGTCCCCACTAAAGGTTTTCCACTGAATTGCAATGGGAAAAGTGAGGTGAAATGTGTTGGAAACTCACGTATTGAAGGGATTTGCTACTTTGAAAATCTATGTTGAGACTTTCTTGTCAGTGCCTCTAAGAGCTCAATGATAATCAGGAGGTGGATTTCTCTAGGGCATGATGCAAATTTGAAGTACTAGAATGTAAGTGCCTGTAACCCTCCTGACATCTTATTAAGAACTTGTAACTGAAAATTTCAAACCTATATAAAAGGAGGAAAAAAATAGCATACTGGGTCTACCCAGATTAATTATCCATACCCTGCCATCATTTTTCATTCATACCTCTATGTACTCCCTGACATTAGATTATCTTGAAGCAAATCCTACACATCTTATTATTTTATTGGTAAATATTCTATAAAAATGATTTATAAACATAAATGTAATAACATTATTACAAATAAGGGTAGTTTCTTGATAGTGTCAAATACACATGTGTTCATATTTTCCTGATCATAGTTATTTTTTCAGGTTGTTGAAGTACCACCCAAACAAGGCTCACACTTGATGATTATTTGATATGTATCTTAAGTCTCTTTTATGTTTCTAACATTTCCTGCATATTTTTCATTACCTTGCTTTAGATGACTGTACTCTACTCACAGGGTGTGACCAACACATCAGCCCTTTGTGTTTTCTTCATTTGGAGAGTTAGTATTAGAAGTCTGATCAGATTCAAGGTGGATCATTTTTAGAGGTGATGTTAAGCGCTTTCTCTTTATGAATGTCATCATCCGAAGATGATCCTTTCCCAGATCCACTTATTCACTAGCAGGTGCCAAAGGAGGATATTCTGTGTCCACCACCATTCTTTTTTTATGGGCTAAACTACTTTTCCAGCCTTGTGTCAATGTCTTTACAGTATGTTTTACTGTCTGGAGCTTATTCTCTAGTAGATTCCATAAGAAAGGTACACAGGGATAATGTTCTCCGAGTTCTTGCGTATTTATCACAGTATGTGCCTATCACTCTTCTCTTGGGTGGGGAAATGATACCTTTTTCTATGCAGACCATGACACCTCACAGTTTTAACTGGACACCAGTGCTCTTTTTTGGAATCTGTGGAAGAACTGCACCTACCCAAGGCTATGACTCACAAATAACAAGACAGAAAGATACCAACCAAGTGCCAAAACAGAAGAGCTGGGCAACCTTTTCACTGGAGAGTCAGGTCGGATAATAGGACCCATGCAAAAGTGAAGATCTGCAGTTTATTTGAGCATATTAAATGTTACTTCATTGTTTAGTAGCATTAAGTGTTGCTATGGAAGTCTGATAAAAATCTGATTCTTTCTCTTATAAGCTACTTGATCTTTTTGCTTACATGTACAAGAAATACTGATTCTTTTTAAAGACCTATAGTTTTATTAGAATGTATGTTGACAGCAAAGCTCCCTCTCAAAGAGTTATTTTATTTCTAGTTTTCACCTGGGGGAGGAGATTATGCAGATTCTCAGCTCTTCTGCCACAGGCTAAAAAGTGACAAAATGTGTCTCTCAGGCCTGTGGCCCACAGGGACTTGAACTCTTCTGGTGCAAGGAAGCACTTGGTTTTGTGGCCTCCAGGAGCTCCCAGTTAACCTGATACTGGTGATAGGTTTCATCACAAGTATTTGTCCTCATGGGGTTTTATATAATAAGACACAAAATCAAGCCTTCCAATAATGAACACAGAGAGTTCAGACACCTATACCAAGGATGGTAAGAAAAGCTATTTCCAGGTTCTGAATGGGAGTTGTGTTTTTTTTTTAATTGTGGTAGAATACACATAACATTAATTTACCATCTTAAATATTTAAGTGTTTAGTTCAGTGGCATTAAGTACATGCACACCAATGTGATTCTATCACCACCGCCCTTCTCCAGAACTCTTTATTGTGCAAAAGGGCAACCATGAAACAGCTCTCCCCTCCCCTCTCTCCCCAGCCTGTGGCAACCATCCTTTTATTTCTTACGTCTTTATGAATCTGACTACTATGGTAGGTATATCATATGAGTGGAATCATACAGTATTTGTCTTTTTTGTGATCCTTCCTAAAAATTTAACATAATGTCCTCAAGTTTTATCCATGTTATAACAGGTGTCAGAATTTCATTGCAGTTGGGGAGTGCAAAAATGCTTGAATCTTTGTTTAGGAGGAAACTGTCCATCCAGATCCACCTATGGTGCAGGGACACAATAAAGTGCTCTCAGAGCAAAGCCTGGAGGGGATGGAATTAATCTGTAGATTCTATACAATGCAGTAAATCCTTGATGAGTCCAGCTCACAAAAAAGTGAAATGGGATACTATTCACCAATAAAGCTCCATCAACTAGCCTGAAAGTGCTGCCACTAAGGAACAGGGGGCAGGGTCAGCATGGGTAGAGTGCCAGGTGTCCCAGTCATATTTTTGCTCTTTAAAAATAATAAGTAGCACACATACACAAACAGTTCCCTAAAAATTAGCTAAAAAGATATAGAGCATAGCATTATTTATAATATAAAAAATGGTTAAACTCCAAATGTCCAACATAGGGTTATACAACAAAATTACATTACATTCGTTGTATGTTTTTAAGGCAAAAGGCAGGTCAAAACAGCATGTGCAAAGCATTCCATTAATAATTTTCAATGTGTGTGTTTGTGCACCCAGAATAAAGATTAGAAACTTAACAACAACATAATATTAACATGGTAATCTCTGAGTGGGTACCGAGCATTGATTTATTAGTCTTGAAATTCATAAATGATGACGTGATAAGCTTTCAGACAACTAAAATTTGAGTTCTAAAAGAGCTTTACTATTTTTTATATATTGTATATATTGTAAAATTGCTCTCTAGAAAGACTGTAACAATGGCAGCATGAGTCTCATTACTTTCTTAAACCCTTATGTGCTATCATTAAAACGGACTTCTTGTTAATTTTATGAAAAATAACATAGGTTTCAATCAATGACTTCCTTATTACTATTGAGGTTTAACATTGTGTCTACTGTCCACTCATTTTCAACTTTTATATGTTAATTTTTTAAGGCCCTGATTCTCAAATTTGGCTCCATCTATGGACCACACTAATTAAATCCCTGACAAATTCCCATCTCATAACTTACACTATAATATTACAGACTAGAGTTATGAAAGGCTGCATGTAACTGGGAAGATTTAGGAAGAAGTGGTCCTGGGTTCCATGGCTGAAAAAAAAGCTAGGTCAGGACCCCAGATATTTGGATGCCAAGTCTCATGATCTTTTATTAACATACATCCAGATCTAATTATTCCAATATTCACTATATACACAAACAAAAAACCCAGACACAATTTGGTGTATTTATTCTGTTTTCTACATTTGTTTGTTTAGGTTAAAAATTTTTTATTCTGGGGATAGAACAGACTCCAATCTTGGCTCTGCCAGTTTCAGGACTCTGAGAAATTATATTTCCTAAGCCTTAAGTTTCCCTTCTGTTAAAAAAAAAATGATGGAATAATTAAAAGTGAGATTCAGTGATGTAAATGAATTACCTAGCAAGCAGTCAATAAATGTTACATGTCATTAGCAATAAGCTGTTTTAGTTTTCTCAGAAGTAAAATGGGAGGTCATGTCATGAGACTCAAGGATATGAGTCACCTTATCTCAGAGGACTCTAATTCTATGAAACATTATCATCTATCTACTATCTATATCTGTACTATCACCTGTCTTTATCTATCTATCTCAATCTGTCATCTACCTATTCCATTGTCCAACCATCCATCCATCTCTGTTAGTCTTTCCAAAAAGAAACCAAAATAAAACAATAAAATTACCCCATTCACTGAAGAAAGTTTCCTGATAAATAATCACCACTGTGATAATATTAAGTGTTACATGTTAATATTCCCAATATGGAAAAGTATGAGAATGAACAGCAGCTTGACAACCCTAAAGCCAGTGTTGTTTCTTCCTGGGTGTGAAGGCCAGTACATTTCATCCTGACACACCTGTGTTTGTTCTCTAACAATGAAAAAGAAGCTAAATCATCTTAGGGAGAGACACAGACAGGAGGGCATAGATACGACGAAGAATGCCAAGCAGTGAGTCTCTGATCTAATTAACACTCTGCTTTCCTGTTCCTGGAGGCACTCGACATGCTCATGGCTTTGGATGAGTTCTCAGACTCTGGACCTGGAGTATGGCCAACCCTAAGAAGGACAATGTTTCTGAAACGTTTCCTCCCTATCCTTTGCTTTTGGTTCATTCCCTAGGGTCATTATAGAAAAAATTCAACCATCTTTCTATACAACCTTTGAAATACTGGAAGACAACTGGGAGTCCTTGGAGAATTCCCTTTTCATCTCCTCCGTGATGAAAGTCCTAGCATCCACAACAATTCCTCCCCTGACACCCAAGCCCCCTGACCATGCTGGATACTCTGATCATGCTTCATTTGCTCCTTCACAGCACTTGGAAATCTAATCACTTGTAAAAATAATATGGATTTATGTTATATTTTCCCTCACTGTGAAGCCAACTCTGCTACCATTGTCTGGGTCAAGGGTATCACGGGCAGCATTTCCATGCTGCTTTGACACAGTGCTGACTTATTTATGTAAACTAGGTTTGTATATTATCCCTTTGTGTTCTATTTCATTTTTCATTCAATAAACAGTATTTGAAAATTTGATTCTGGAACAGAAATAGAAATTGGTTTTGCTTCCCCTCTGATGTATTAGGGGACAGGGCATCGGCAGTGGGGAAGGTAGGGAAGTTTGTTACCAGAGTTGCT